ATGTGCTGCTCCGTGATACTTTGGGGGTAGTGGGTTGGTGAAGGGGTGAGGAGCATGGATGCTAATCTGGGAGAACCGCGTCTGATTCCCCACTCCTCCACTTGCAGCTGCTGGATGACCTTGGGCAAGCCATAGTTCTGACAAGAGCTGTCCTTTGAAGGGCAGTTCTTGAAAGAGCCCTCTGAGCCCTGCCTACCTCACAGGGTATTTCTTGTGGGGAGGGGGAGGGAAAGGAGTTTGTGAGCCGCTTTGAGACTCCGAGTGAAGGGCGGGGTGTAAATCCAATATCCTCTTCTCTTCTTGGTAATAGCTGTTCTTCCACTCAGCAAGTGTATAACTATCCTGCTGGACCGAAGAGACCCAGGTTCAAGTCCCTACAGGCATCCGCAGCCTCGCTCACTCCACAGGATAGTTGTCATCTAGCAGCCCTTGGTGTGTCCTGAAATCTGTTTGGCATCATACACTCGAATCAAGTCTGCATCACACCTTCCCCATTCCACCTGTTTGACTTTACAAATCTCAGTGAGTCAAGCAGAATACAAAAAAATAAGCTACTATACATTTCCTATACACACAGCTCAGTGAGACAAGGGGACCATAAATGAATCCGTACCTCTACATCATTCAGTGAGACAAACGGACCATAAATGCCAAACAGATTAAAACCAGGGGTAATTTCTTGCAGGAGCACACAGGAGCGGAGCTCCGGCAGTAAGGAGCCCAGGGGGTGGGCACGTGCAACAAGCCCCGCCCCCTGCAGCCCTCAGTGGGGCCATGAGGAGCAAGGAGCAGCCAGGTAAGTTGCAGAGGGCCCGCCTTCAGGTACAAGCTCTCCCTCCTCTGCAAGGATAGATCCAGCAGAATGAAACAAGGACGCGGGGGGGGGCTTTTCCTTTGGGGCTGTGACATCGCTGTAATGTTCTGGTTAATTTCACTCTGGAGCTGTGCAACGGTGCCCAGTTTTTAAACACTGAGCATCAGCTGAAAAGGTATTTGTGGCCAGTTGCTATGCAATGCTCCCTCTAAGCTGTGGAGTCTTGTGAGCAAAAATCCTACTTGGTGAGCTCCTGGCATGAGAGTTGTGAGCCAGTGATTTGGCTGCTGCATGTATTAGTTTGCTCTGGAGCCCTCATAAGAACATAAGAGACGCCAATGTTGGATCAGGCCAAAGGCCCATCCAGTCCAACACTCTGTGTCACACAGTGGCCAGAAATACCAGGTGCCATCAGGAGGTCCAGCAGTGGGGCCAGGACATTAGAAGCCCTCCCACTGTTGACCCCCCCCCCAAGCACCAAGAAGACAGAGCATCACTTGCCCCAGAGCCCCTAGCTATACCTTGTGGCTAATAGCCACTGATGGACCTCTGCTCCATATGCTCCTTCCTGAGTTGAGACAAAAATGTGTGAGCTGGAGGCTAAAAGACTGCAAGCTAGCTCACACTAACTCACCTTAGAGGGAACATTGGTTGCCACCTTCTCCCTGGGCATTTGAAGAAGCCTCCTAGGGCTTAGGAACTGTAACCTATTGCTGCTCCTCTCACTAAAGATCTGTGTGGATTTTTGATGAACCCTTCTATTGGATTGGATGACCTGTTGAACTCTTCTTATGATGTCTTACACTTTTTGGAATATTGTCATATAATTGCCCTACAAATTTACCCTGCCTGGAATGTACTGCACATCGATGTGTGTAGAAACGGATGGATTTATTGCATAAATAAATGAGTCATGACGCTATATAAACGAATAGGGTTTCCCCCCCCCCCAAAGATTATTTACGTTGATGTTGATTAGATTTATTCAGAGCTTTGGTGCTAATTGTTGCAGTGTGGTGTTTCACTCATGTAGGCAATGGTGAGAAGGGGCGGCGGGGCACCTCTGGCGGCCACCGGCCTGCAGGCGCCTCCCATCGGATCGAGGACATCTCCCTGGAAAAGACAGGAGGCTGGTAGGCGACAGGATAGCCCGTTGCGTGAACCGTCCGCCGCTCTTGAGGAAGCCCGGCCTCCCCGCCTCCCTTCACGGCAAGAACTGAACCCCGAGGCGGTCCTGATGGGGTGCATCAACTACAGAGAGGGTTGGGCCCAGGATTGTAACATGTGAGCTCCGCCCCGGACTCGTGTCATGCCTCTGGGCTCGGCCCTGCCTCCGGAAGCCGGAGGAGCTCTGGCAGGAGGTAGTTTTGGCTGGTCTAGATGCCGGGCGGGAGGAAAGAGGCGCCGCAGCTGCCGCAGGTACCAGCCGGGCTGCTCCGGGAGATGCCAGAGGGGGAGCTGGCATCCTGGTGTTATGTACTGAGCCTGAACAGTACCTGGAAACAGGCTGAGCTTGTTCCACCAGAACAATAGCTAGCCAGGATCCTGGAATGGACCTATAGAGTAGTAGTTAGTTGTCATGTAAATAGCCTGGGGAGGCAGTATCTATACAGCTGCAAGGCCCGTTTTTCAGTCTTAGAGTTGAGCTGAGATGACTACTAAACGATGAGCTGGTCACTATTGTCTTTTCCAGGAGCTCTTCTCCTTCCCACCACGTGACTCTGTGCAGAAAGGGTAGAGAGAGCTCTCTGAGCCAGAGAGGCCAGCACAGGCGCAAAGACCCTTAAGGCACCTAATCAGATGGCCTGGACATGGACACGGACCTTTTCCCGTGCCCTCCTGAACACGTAATGATTCGAAGCAGCACTTTTTCTGTCTCGGGGAGAGCACAGGATCAAATAGTCTAACTCATGGAAGGACAGGCAGCCTCCCCTCAGAGGAGAGGTGGGGGAAGGTCTTGGGTCTCAGACCACAAGGTGACACAGGGGTGGAAACAATCGTAAGAAGCCCGTGAGTGGCCAATAAGACAGCAGACCGGAGGATTTCTGCTGTCTCTTGTAGAGTAAATCGAGGGCCTAGAGGACCGATGAATCTAAAATCCTTCTTGCATGTGCGGAAAAAAAACCCATGAATGCATAACCTTGAGCCACCATGTTAATTGAAGGAGGTGAAGAAGAGGTGACCCCCATGGGTCGGACAACTGGCCCGTGACTCCCCACTGGACGGAAGAATTCATAGCCTCTCTGTAGAGCCTTCCCCCCCACACACACACAGTAATTCCCAGCATGGACTAGGGCCGTGTGAAACGAGTGACCCAGAGTGTGGCAAATTCTGCACTGCAGGAAACTCGCCGGACTCATGTTCAGGCAGCCCTGGATAAACGGATTTGTGTGCATGCTGGCTGCAAATGCCAGACGTTTCCCCTGCAGTGCAGACAGACCTGTGGAAAAGGCCCTTTTCTGGGCTTCCCACGGGAATGTTGGGGGGCGGAAAAAACCCCAGAGGGGAAAGATTTGAGACGAGGCGCCTCAGCACTGTAGCCCCAGATTGGGAAGGGTCTCTGGGGGAGAGGAGGCTGGATGTTAAGGAATGAATTTAATATTTGAACACATCTCCATTGTTGTCAGCAAAACAACAACTTGAGAAGAAGCAGCCCCCATTGCTGAATTGTTTGTGGTCACGCAATCCACATCTCTGCTTTATTTCTACATTGGCATGTCCTGCAAGATGGACCTTTGATGACCAGAGGAATGGCCAAGCTTCATCTGCACTTCAAGGGAGCATCCTGACGCCAAGTTTTCACACTTGCCCAGATGCCCTCCTTTGTGTTAGGTCTTAGGTTACAATATTGTCCAACCCTCTAGGTAGCCACCCCTCACTACACGCAACCAATAGGAGTGTTTTTGGGACGGACTAATAGGTAGGTGGGTCAAGAGGTTGGCACAGTTGCCAACCACCCAAAAGACCACCTATAAAAGGTAAGGACCATTCACCTGGCCCTTGCTACCTAGCATTCCCCGCAACAACCTGTCTGCTTTATACTCCCCTTTTGTCCAGCTTGCTATCCCCAAACCCTTGCCTCTACTTTGATCTCTTGATCTGCAGTCAAGAGACCCCCACACAGTCCTGCTAAGTTCTGGTAGTGTGGATCCCTTTAGTTTTCCATTTCTTCCCCTCTATTCTTCATTGGAACAACCAAGCTGCGAAGACAGATAAGTATCACCCATCATCACCCCCACCTGCAAATGCAACCATGCTTATTTTTAATACTGTATTTCTAAGGAACTTGATTGAATGTGCGAGTGCATCAGTATTGTTTGTATGAGATTTATTGTATGAGATCTGTTTTAACAACACCAGCCTCGACTCCTTCTCTGATAACCCTTGGTGGGAACAGGATCTTGGTATAGTTGGCAAGCACCCATTTATAAATTGCCAGTTGCTGTAAATAAAGCAATTCGGCTAACACTGGACACCTTCCTCACATGAACACAGGTGAAGCTGCCTTTGACTGAATCAGCCCCCCCCCCCCGGTCTATCAGGGTCAGTCTTGCCTACTCACTCTGGCAGAAGGCTCTCCAGGGTCTCCTAAGAAAATAAGAGAAGCCAGTGTTGGATCAGGCCAAGGGCCATCCAATCCTGCACTCTGTGTCACACAGTGGCCAAAAATACCAGGAGCCATCAGGAGGTCCACCAGCGGGGCCAGAACTCCAGAAGCCCTCCCACTGTGGCCCCACCAAGCACCAAGAAGACAGAGCATCCCTGCCCCAGACAGAGTATTCATTGCTGCCAGTTGTGGGGTGCATGCTGGAATTTGCCTGGTCTTTCCCCTCACCTCCTGCCCTGGTTCTGTTACCTGGAGATGCTGCTTGGGATCGAACTGGTGGCCTTCTGTGGGCCAAGCAGATGCCCTGCTACTAAGCCACACAGCCCCTTCCTGTGGCCCATGCCTCTTTCATGGTTTGAAAAACACTGCTCCATGCGGGCTGTGTGCGTGCGATAAAGACAGCCCCAAGCGCCTGGTCCTGTCCCTCCTCCCGTGCAGAAGAGGCCGGTTACTGGGGGAGAACCATGACAAGGGGGTGGGATTCGGGGAGCTGAGCGGAGCGTGCCTGTGAATGGCGCCCACAGCAATGTCCTGCTCTTCTCCAGTGGAGCCCCCAGAAGTCTCCAGTGTCGCTTCACGTCACCCCTTGCAGGAGCGCAAGGCACTCAGGACTCTCTGGCGAACGGGCTTTGTCCTCCAGGCGTAGACCACGGGGTTCAGGGCCGGAGGAGCAAAGAGGTAGAGGTTGCCCAGGAGGATGTGGACGTAGGGGGCCACACCGTGGCCAAAGCGGTGGGTGAAGAAGGAGAAAATGGCCGGCGTGTAGAAGAGCAGGATGACGCAGACGTGGGAGCTGCAGGTGCCGAACGTCTTTCCACGGGCTTCCCGGGACGGCAGCCGGAAGACGGCCCCCAGGATGAGGAAATAAGACACGGCAATGAAGACCATGTCGAACCCGATCACCGTGGCAACCACCACCAGCCCGTAGGCACTGTTGAGCTTGGTGTCCCCGCAGGCCAGCTTGACCACGGCCATGTGCTCACAGTAGGAGTGGGCGATGACCCGGCTCCGGCAGAAGGGGAGGCACATGGCCAGCAGGACCAGCGGAATCAGGAGGACCAATGCCCGGCCGACTATGGCCACAGCCATTTTGGCAACGGCCAGGTCCGTGAGGATGGCCGTGTACCGCAGCGGGTCGCACACGGCCACGTAGCGGTCAAAGGCCATGGCCAGCAGCAGGCCAGACTCCAGGGCGGTGAAGGCGTGAAGGAAAAACATCTGGGCCAGGCAGGCGTGGAAGGCAATGTCGTGAGCCCCAAGCCAGAAGACGGCCAGCATCTTGGGAATGGTGGAGCTGGAGAGGCCCAGGTCCGCCACGGAGAGCAGGGCCAGAAGGAGGAACATGGGCTGGTGGAGCGTGCGCTCCAGGCAGATGACCAGGAGGATCGTCCCGTTTCCCACCAGCGCCAGCACGTACATCGCACAGAACAGGAAGGAGACGGGCAGGTGAGCAGACTCCAGTCCGGGGATCCCCACCAAGAAGAAGGAAGGCGGGACGGCCGGGCCTGTGCGGTTGGGCCAACTCATGGCAGGCGGGACGGACGGGCCCGCCTTGGGTGCCCTGAAACCTGCAAGAGGAGAGCCGTCAGTCCAGACCCACCCACAGGGAGGCACCACTGCTCAGGGGAGGAGCCTCTGCTTGGCATGCAGAAGGGCCCCGGTTCAATCCCCGGCGGCATCTCCAGTTCAAAGGACCAGGCGGGAGGTGGTGGGAAAGACCTCCGCCTGAGACCCTGGGGAGTCGTGGCCAGTCTGAGCGGGCAACATTGACCTTAAAGGACCCCTGGTCTGGTTCAGTAGAAGGCCGGTTCATGTCATCATATCATGATGTTCGCAGTCCTCCTGACTCCCCCCCGCTCAAATGGCTACATCCAAGATGCTACTGAGACGGCCGAGAAGGGGACTGCCCCACTCCTTGCTCATGGGGAGGCTTTTGAAAGACTCGCCACGACCACTTTACAGATGTGATCTTCAGCACATCTCTTCTGACTCTCAGTCTGTACCCCAGGCCTCCACATGCTGCAGGCAAATCCTCACACTCCCCCCCCCAAAGAAAACCCAACCCCGCGGTATTCTGGCTTGCCAGGATGTCCCATGGATGGGGTCTGCCTCCAATTTGTGGGAAGTAACTATATTGATTGTTGGTTTATTCCCACCGGAGGCAGCTTTTAAATTAAAATCAAGACCATGAAATCACAAACTATCAATAGAAAAACATAAGGACATAAGAGACGCCAATGTTGGATCAGGCCAGTGGCCCATGCAGTCCAACACTCTCTGTCACACAGTGGCCAGAAATACCAGGTGCCATCAGGAGGTCCAGCAGTGGGGCCAGGACACTAGAAGCCCCCCCACTGTTGCCCCCCCCAAGCACCAAGAATACAGAGCATCCCTTGCCCCAGACATAAGAGCATGAGAGAAGCCAATGTTGGATCAGGCCAAAGGCCCCTCCAGTCCAACACTCTGTGTCACACAGTGGCCAGAAATACCAGGTGCCCTCAGGAGGTCCAGCAGTGGGGTCAGGACACTGGAAGCCCCCCCACTGTTGCCCCCCCCCAAGCACTAAGAAGACAGCGCATCACTTGCCCCAGACATAAGAACATAAGAGAAGCCAGTGTTGGTTCAGGCCAATGGCCCCTCCAGTCCAGCACTCTGTGTCAGGCAGTGGCCAGAAATACCAGGTGCCCTCGGTAGGTCCAGCAGTGGGGCCAGACAAACAAAACAAGCCTGGGGCCAAAAATAGCACTGCTTGTTCTGCAGATGGCTGGGCGGGTTCCCTGTGATGTTTGGGACTCGGTGCCAAGCTTCCGTTTTGCCTGATGAGAGGCTGGAACAGGCTGTCCCCACAAATGGCTCCTAAACGGTTCCCGGAAGGGCCCCATTAACACGCTGTGAACATCTGAACCTCCTGAGGGCTGATATGTTGTCTGGAAAGACTCTCAAGGAGAAGTTTGGCGGCAGGGCTCCAGGCGCATACCTGGGTGGGGTGGGGTGGGGGTGCAGCAAGCCTTCGGACTGGTTGGCCCCGTCTCTCCCAGGCAAACACAGGCTGATACGTCACAGGAGATTCTGGGGTGATCCTTCTTGATTTGGGTTTCAACAAAAGGCCACTTAAGGGGAAAACCAGCATTCCCCCCTTGTGCCATTTTCCTGCCAAAAACCAGCCCTCGCCCAGCTTTCTTTCACACCCACCTAATGGAAAATGTGCAGTAAAAGCCGCTCGGGGTGGCCTATTATGCACGGGTGTTTCCCCTCGCTTCCACCATGCATGTCCATCTTCTTTGCCATCCTGCATTGATTTCTCTCCCTTTAGTGCTCAGTTTGCTTTCTGCTCGCTGTTTCCCTGGGTTTTCTGAGAGTGCTTTTGTGCCGATTTCCCCCTTGTTTCACTTCCCAGCCGAAGGTAATTCAAAAACATACAGATTCCCTTGGATCCCCCCCCCCAGCCCTTTTGCTGCTCTTTGAAGGTCACTCCCCACCCACATCAAGGTCGTTCTGCCCACTCTGCACCTTCCACCCTCCTCCCCCCTTCATCGATGTACAAGCTCCATTTTCTCGTTGTTCTAAAATTGTAATTTTTTTTGACAAGCAGCATGAGTCTAATGATATGAGACTATCGCTAGTCTCAGATTGCTGAATAAAAAAATTAAAATGATGGGCGGGGGGAGGAATTTAAAAGGAGCTGCATGAGGTTTAGTTCCCTGCTGGTATTGACTTGAAAGGGGGATCAGAAAAGAGGAAAACAGCTGCAACCCCAGTGGGAAAAAAAAGGAAGAAGTTTTCAGTACTGCATGCCACTGTTCCCTCTAAGCTGTGGAGTCCTGTGAGCAAAAATTCTACTTGGTGAGCGACTGGCATTAAAGTTGTGAGCGAGCGATTTGGCTGCTGCATAAATCAGTTTGCTCTGGAGCCCCATCCTTCCTGAGCAAAGACAAGAATGTGTGAGCCGGAGGCTAAAAAACGGTGAGCTAGCTCACGCTAACTCAGCTTAGAGGGAACACTGCTGCATGCAAACAAAATAAAGCGGGGGGGGGATCATCACTACAGAATGAAATTGACATGAGATGTAAAGAAAGAGAGAGGCACTGGGATGGGAAGCCTAAAGCTTTTTTTTTTTTTTTAGTGTTTTCCCCTTTCATGCTTTAGTGAACAAAGCTTTTTGGAGGGGGGAAACCATTTTGGCCGTCTCCAGAAGCCTAACATTAAAATGGCAGCTGAGCCACATGGACCTTCTAAGAACCGCCGAACCTAAGAATCTCTTGGGATACACTTGTTTGGAGGACGGGCTTTCAAAAAATGCCAAGATTGTGACCAGTGTACAGGATCAAATTAGAGAATCACAAAGAAAAAACCCACACTAATTTTCAAGGAAGGGCAGGAAATTACCATGACTATGCAGCTGCGCTAAGATACACACATGCACACTTGCCAACGATCACAGCTTGTAGCGCCAGTGTCAGTGGGTTCTGCTGTGCATTCTGTACACTCAACGTGTTCCCCCATATTATGAGATTGTGTGCCTCTTTCCCATTTTTCACAGGGGCTGATAACACAGCAGAGAATCCCCTTGTGCTCACAATATGGAAAAGGGGACTTAGCAGCTGCTTGTTGTCAGCTAGGCCGCTGTCATAGCTGGTGGAAGGGGGAGAAGCTGATGGATAGTCTGTTGTGGTAATAGAATCTTAAGTTTCATTTCTTCCTGTCTCCTCTTATCTGCTAGTGTAGGCCGGTGACCTTGGCACCTTGCTGCTGCTTTCGCTGGGAATGCAAGCCCATTAGCTTAGGCGTGCTTTAGCTTATTCCTTGATTGGCTCAGACCCATCAGGGGGGCCCTTCTGAATTTTGCATAACACCCCTTGCATGCACTTGCAACTAGTCTTGACACTGAATGTATGCCCAGATGACCTGCCTTTACTGCACTCAATAAACTTGGACCTCCTGAAAGAACTTTGTTGAGAAATGATTGCTGCGGACTCTGACACTTGTCAGTTTCAGACAAAGTCTGGTCAGTTTCAACACTGGGTTTTCCCCCTTGCCTGAGTTCCTTTCTGTTCCCTTTCATTCAAGAAACTAATGCTGAAATACATCTGCAAAGCCTGGAATCAAACCCGGTTCTCCCAGATTAGAGTCCGCGCACTTAACCACGACACCAAACTGTAGCTGTGATAGGGCAATTGTGTGATTTTTTTTTTTTAGAAACCCACTTTGGACACCCACACACACACCACAAATGACTTCCAACCCTGATTTAGAAAAGTACATTTTTAAATTGTAGCTGCAGAATAAGTACACTGGAGGAAAAAGAATTGTGTGTAAGGCGGGTACAGAACCCGACGTCAAACTTAAAGGCTTCCTGCTCGGAAAGTCTGAAGTCAGATGTGTGTGTGTGAATGGGCCAAGGACAATTTCCGGTGGGGAAAATAGAGTGAGGTCAGTCCAGCTCTCCCACCCAGGCCAGCCCCACACAGGAACACACATAAAGCCACTTTATACTGAATCGGACCTTCAGGGCCAGTCTGGTCTACCCAGACTTCAAGCAGCTCTCCAGGGTCTCAGGCAGGGGTCTTTCACACCCCTGACTGCCAGGTCCTGCTGGAGACCAAAACATAAGACCTTTTGCAAGCCAAGCAGAGCCTCTTCCACTGAGGCCCTTTTCAAACTGCCTTTGCATTTTGTTTTAGTAACTGGTTGCTAAAATAGTTTTCCTGACAGCATTCAATAATGTTCACTACACTATTATATAATGACAATAGAAGACAAAAACAAGTGTGGTTAACAGACTCAACAAGAAATGCTTTTAGCAATGTTATACCTATTTACGTTGTATTTACACTGAATGACTTGTTGTATTTTCTGTTAGCACAGACTGTCCCCAAAGCATGTCAGTGTGAATGTGAAAACCACAGCAGGTTAAAAGGGGGTAAGCTGTTGGTTAGACTTACACGTTGAGCTTGCAATTTCTTTGTATGGCTCTCCTTTTCTTACTAAGTTGTGTAATTTATTATAGAACACCCTGATGAAGGATGAACTTTGAAACGTTGTTATCAAACATCCAGACACAACGTCAAATTATTTAGCAGTCCTCCGTGGTTTAGACATTGTAGGGCCTCCCAGTTCTCCATCCTTTACATTTTGTACTTTTTCATTGTAGCTGTTTTGTAGACATCATTCTCTATTACATGTTCTTCAGCTTTTTGGCTTGTTGTAATTGTTGAGTCTGTCTACTACACTTGTTTTCTATTATCAAAATATTTCCCCTGTCATTTCAGACTCATTTTGCTAATTGGCTGCTAGTGGAATTTATTTACCTATTCGTACAAACCTGCTTGCGCTGGGTTAGCAAAGTGTGGCTGAGTTGCTTTAGAGGGAAACGGCTTTCTTCAGTTTTCTACCGCTCTGTTGCACTTCTGAATGGCTGTGGTGTGCTGCTTAATGCTGCTCCCCCCCCCCGCCGCCCCTTTTTGCTGCACGATATTGCTGCCCCTTTTTGCCGCACGATCTTCCTCAGACTTTTTTTGAATGGAGTC